GGCACTTTGGACAGTGATTTGATGGCTAGTCGAGGTGAGTTTTTAGCGGTCAGAACGTGGAAGGAAAAGGGGTTTTGCTTCTGTTTCTGTCCCCAGAGTGACCCTGGAAGAGGGGTATTCGGAGCCAGATGGTTTGTGGTGGCCTTGACATCATAGAAAGCTGGCCCTTTTTCCCTCTGATGACCTTGTGACATTGGGTGGGGTGTGTTTGTGGGTGCATTTATAGCAGGGGCTGGTTGCTTCTTTTCTTGTTCTCTTTCTTGGCTCTCTGGGATGCTGAGTGGCCCTTGGCTCTGCTGTTCCCCCCGATTGGTCACGGACAAGCAGTTGCTCCAGCCAGGGTGGAGTCCTCTCCCTTTACCCACAGGGCTGCCTGTTTGTTTTGCTTTGTAGAAACTCCAGGAGGAGGAGGAAGAGAGCAACACCAGCAAAGTGCCCACTGCTGTGTCAGAGGATCATCTCTGAGAGGAAGGTGGTGACAACTCAGGGAACATGAACACCACACCTTTTCCTTCAGCACAGCTCTCACCGCCGGCACAAAGGGCTTCGCTACAGAAGTTTTTGGAGGGAACCAGCAGGACTATTTGTGGCTTGCATGGCCTATTCCGCCTAGAACCCGTGTAAGAGCTTGGATGATTTACTTGGAGAAAATTGCATCTTTCACCAAATGCAAATTGGATTCCCACCTCCACCCCCTTTTAGGTTATGGGAGTTGGTGCTGGGACAGGCTGGCAGAGAGTAGTGGAGTCAATCCTAGCTTGGTCTCTTGCCTTCCCTCTTTTCCTCCATCCTTCATGGACAATGCCTGCAAAATTATCATAGGAAGAAAGCTTATTCAGGATATTAACTTGAAATTTCCAGTGTCCTAGGAGCCTCTCATGAAGCCCAATTCTAAGAAGGGGCAAGCTGCTCTGCCAGGGGTCATCTCCTGGGTCACTGGACTGACTGCTGAGTTCTGTAGGAGAGGAAGCACCACTAGAACTACTCCATTGGAACAGCTCCATCAGGACTTGTGGGCCTAAATTCTCCTGGCCTAACAGGGTCTGTCTCCAAACACTTTTTCCTAAGAGCTGAGCAAACCAAACATCAATAAACTTGACAAAGGACTTTGTTGTGGCCATGATGGAGACACCTACTCGGGAGAGCTACTACCTAGGTGTGATCATGCTGGGGGGCTACCTGCTGAGTATATTTGTGCAGGCCCACATTTGGGAACTCTGTTAGCTTGAGTTGGGAATGCGAAGGTTCTTTTTTGCAGACATATTTCCCCAGGGACTTCTGTGTGTCACATCACCTCTGATGCCTTTATCTCAATGCTGTGTTGGGAATCTCAGCCATCAGCCCAAGCGCTTGTTTTATTCCAAGGCAGGGTAATCCCAGCCAACTTACTCTGACCTTTACTGAAAACTAATCTTGATTCATTCCACTCTGACAAATCCAAAGCTGCTTCTGAGAGATAAGAGGGAAGGGGTAGAAGGAGAGGTGGTGCCCCCTTGAAATGGGAATTGAGTCTGCTAGAATTAAAAGCTTATCTCACCTCTGCTGGGGACAGTATTTGTACCACCAACTCCTATCCCCACCTGCTTTGAGTAATAATCTTTATCAGATGTTCTAAACTTAAAGGGATTCTCTTTCATCATTTCAAGCTGACCTCTTTTTCTATCTAGCCTGCTGTCTGGCTGTGCTCATTGGCTTTGGTAATATCTCCTAAAAATGAGATTTTGGTAACTTCTCCTATGCATTGGGCAGCTGCGATCACGACCACCGTGCTGTCTTGCTCCAGCCACTGTCCCCGCCTCAGTGTATCAGGGCAGCCTGACCTGGCTGTAGTACTAAGGTGCCTGGGCCATTGCCTGAGAGGAGGCAGGTGTGTGTGTGTGTGTGTGTGTGTGGAGATTTAAGCAATGGATGAAGGAATTTGCTGTATGTAATAGAAGAAAGAAGTCCATGCTTTTGGTAGAAGTAGTGAATCAGTGTGGAAGAGAGGTGAGGGTGTGCTTTACTTCTTGATAAGGAGAAAGATGTTTACTCATCAGCTCTTCAAAATGTATTAACAAAATGTTTACCAAACCTATTGCTTTATTTTAAAAACATAATTTGTATTTTCTATTTTTAAGATCAGACGTTTCAAGGCAATAAAAAATTCTCAGAAAGCAGTCTGCCTTATCATTTTGTGGGGCAGAGATGGCTCTTGAAGTCCGTACAAGACTGTCACATACACATTCCTGAGGCCCGTGTCTCAGGTGCGGGGAAGGACTGGGCTGGGAGGGGTGCATGCAAGGCTAGAGCAGCAACTGTGGTCTTCCACAGGAGCATCTCACTGTTGCCAGACGTTACCATCCGGGATGGATATTTTTTAAAGACAAGGCTGTAAAGATTACTGTTTGCCTACATGCGGGGGGCTGCAACTCAGCATCCAGCACATGACCCTGACCTCTTTCCACGCTGGGTACACAATGGAATGTGAGTGACTGCTTATGAGAGAGTCCACTGTTGTTTCTGGCTCGGCTTCAAAGGGTGTTTGAAATGTTTGTTCTCTGTTTACCCCAGCCACACCCCAGCTTGCTGTGGCTGGGGCTCACTGCTCAGTCCCAGTAGCTGCTTTTTTGCGTTCCCACTTTTCTTCTGAAATGTCCAACTTCCTGTCACTCATCCGTCCCCAGTCATGACCACCTCGTGAATGGATAAGCTGCTACTATCTGTGTTCTGTACATTTTTTTTCCTAGAGAGTTGTACTGTGCCTGTGCCATTCTAGCACCATATTTATTAGCAATTCTTAGTTGGGGAGAAACAGTATTATGATTCTCTTTTAAATGATCTAGGAAGGGACCCAAGCCTGGACGGTTAAGAAATCTAATATTCAGCCGGTTGGCTCATGCTTGTAATCCCAGCACTTTGGGAGGCTGAGGCGGGTAGATCACAAGGTCAGGAGTTCGAGACTAGCCTGGCCAATATGGGGAAACCCCATCTTTACTAAAAATACAAAAATTAGCCAGGTGTGGTGGTCGGGGCTTGTGGTCCCAACTACCTAGGAGGCTGAGGCAGGAGGTTGCAGTGAGCCAAGATCGTACCACTGCACTCCAGCTTGGTGACAGAGGGAGATTCCATGCAAAAAAAAAAAAAAAAAAAAAAAAAAAAAAAAAAAAAAAAAAAGCCAGGTGCGGTGGCTCACGCCTGTAATCCCAACACTTTGGGAGGCTGAAGTGGGTGGATCACTTGAGGTCGGGAGTTTGAGACCAGCCTGACCAACAGGGAGAAACCCTGTCTCTACAAAAAATAAATAAATAAATAAATCTAATATCCATAGTGTCTGCTAAATACTCTACTATACACCTCTTTAGATACTTTGGGATCCTGTCACTACTTATCTGGAATCACATTTCTATGACACATGCTCAGAGGACCTAAATTATCCAATGTTTTCATTCACTCCTTTCATATGAGGTCTCCATGTGGATCTGCATTCAAATGTTAACTGTCATCACTGCTTTTCTTACTGCCTCCTAACAATACAGCTTGCAAGTAAAGAAAGGATAGTTCTTACCACTGAGATATTTTCCTAGATATAGTGTTCTGAGCACATGAGGCCTGGAATTTCTGTAACCAACTTTGGCACCATAAAAGCAGCCAGACTGAGGATGCCAGCATAGGTAGGCAGAATCGTAGAGAAATGGAGCTGGAGTCTTTGATCAAACCCTTCCTGAAACTTATCATCTTGTAATTTGTTTTCAGTTACACCAGCCAGTTATCTTCACTGTTTAAGCTAGTTTAAGGTAGGTTTTGTCCTTTCACCTAATGAGCCTTAACTAATTAAGAGAATTCCCAATGTATTTAAGGGTATACATTAAGCTTCCTATCACACCCTTATAAACCCCCTGCCTCTCTTTCTGACCTTTTCTTTCACTTCCTACCTCCTCACCATGCTGTGATTACACAGATCTTACTCCTTGGATAAGACCACTTCTGCCTTATAGCTGCTGCTCCCTCTGCTCTAACAGCTGCTCCATATCTCAAGACATTTGACTCCTGGGCATTCAAGTCTCAGCTCAAATCCTACCTCTTAGCCTAGGCAACATAGGCTAAGACCATCTCTTCCCACCCCCCAAAATATTAGCTGGTTGGTGGTGAACACTTATAGTCCCAGCTACTTGAGAGGCTGAGGCAGGAGTATTGCTTGAGCCCAGGAAGTTGAGGCTGCAGTGAGGTACGACTATGCCACTGCACTCTAGCCCGGGTGACAGAAAAAAAACAAAACAAAAAACCCAAAATCTTATTTTCTCAGGGATGACTTTCTGATTATCTAATTTAAGTTATGGTCCCCCAGGGCCCACCCCATATTCCTCCTTGACCAAAATACTTTGTGTTTGTTAGCATTCTTATCACCATCTGCAGTTCTTTATTCATGTGTTGGCTTGTTGATTTGGTGACCTTGACTACAACATAAGACCCACAGGGCAGGGGCATTGCTTGTGTCATTCGTTTCTCTTTCCCGCATGTCTGGCATGGAGAAGCTCTCAACAAATATTTGCTGAAATAACACATGGCCTTCTGGATACACATGCTGTGTATGAGGGTCCCGCCGCGGAGGCCCTCTGGGTAGCGTTTAAGAGCATCTGTCCATTCCAGTGCATTCTCCTCGGGATTTAGTTGTCTTCTTCCCGTGTTGTGCAGTTGTTTCATCTATGCTGCCTAGTTCTATTTTTTTTTGTCTCTGCTCTCTCAAGAATCTGCTTTTTCTTTAGGAGGAAACGAGAAAGGGTATTGAGTGTTTAGTTGTGAATGCAGAATCTTGAAGGTGGGAGAAAACAAGAATTGACTTCAAGAATACAAGAGAAATGAGCAAGTGACAATAAGGAGCTAGAGGCAGCCAGGCTGACCTGTGTCTTGAGCTGTCCTACTCACTCTGGTGTATTCAATCAGGCATAAAGCTGTGATACTCCTAGGACTCAGAGGAGGCAGGCATGGTCTCGTCTTAGCAGAGGTCAAAGTACAAGGACTGATCAGAGCAGAAGGTTTTTCTATTTATTACAAAAGTTGTTACACAAATACAGCTGACCAGAAGGTCTAAAAACAGCCCAGACTCTTCCAACCCTCATGCATCTGTAGATATAAGGAGAGCCATGGTCTTGCTCACACATAGGGGAGCCCTTCTTGGAAGAACTGCCTATCCCTTGGAAGGTTCGGAGTCTTGGGTCCAGCAGCAGAGAGGAGCCCAACCTGAGTGGACAACCCCTTGAGGCAGCCCTTGGTCATAGCTGCTCTGGGTGGGCAGCAGGTTTAAGTTTCAGAGTGCACACGTTCCCACCACATAAGTCAAATCAAGGCATGAAAATAAAAGGGAAAAAGAGAAAGGCTGGAAAAGGGAGCCTGGAAGAGGTTGTTAAGTTGGGGAAGGAGACACAGTGGGCTTCCGAGGAGCTGGCAACTTCTTGACTTGGATGGAATTACATAGTATTCACTTTAAAATTGTTCTTTAAGTTGCACATACATGTTATATGCTTTTCTGTATGCATGTTAGATCTTTAAATTTAAAAAATGTAAAAAAAAAAAAAAAAGAGGCTAAAAGTGAATGGGGCTGATGATGGGACAGAAAAGAAATTAAAGAGGAGAGACGATGAAGGAAGAAGACAGCCAAGGTAGAAGACAATGAAGTCCTGAAGGTGGTAATGCTGGCCTCAGTTTCTCTTCTTCTGTCTGGATACTGGTTCTACTTCTAGGTACCGGAGCCCAACTAGCATACCCAGGATGGAGAAACCTTAAATACAGAGAAAAGATTAGTGCCTGACATAAATACAGCACCTTCCTTCTATCTCTCCTGTGTCCACCCTCTGTACTAGCTATAGAACTGGGACAGTTTGTGTAGGAGGTCTAGGGTGGTTGGATGCTTACTTGCTACCATCAGGGGTGCCAGGACGCCAATTGTGGGAGCTGCAGTTCCATAGACAAACAACTCAGAGAGGAAGTGCCCCAGGGCGAGGAGGAAGGTCCAGAGTGTGATGTGATAGAGCCTACAAGGAAGCAGACATAAATGGGAATCAAAGTTACTGTTTGTTCAGAACAGAACAGAGGAAAAGTATCAGACTTGATACATACAAATAAGAACCCAGGATGTGATGAAGGCTTAAAAGAAAGGACACTTGTTCCTGAGGACATGTTGGCCAGGCTGTTCCTGAGGAACAAGTGTCTGATTATTTGATCACACCAATATTCTCATCTAGGGCAAAACTGAAGGTTTCAACTGCTAAACTGAGAGAAAAATGGCTCAGGCATCCAGAATGAATTTCCAAGTCTCGGCAAAGTGGTGAACTCAGCTATAGCAAAGCAGAGCCTGAATTATGACAATCCTAGGCAGTATAAACAACTCTGGATCCAGCACGCTTACATTATTTTATTTATCTAAACTGGCTGACTCTGCAGTCTAATCCCACCTGGCAGGCATCTGGCCATGCACCTGTCGGTGTTTATATGATGGAAGCCACAGAATGAATGGCCTAGTGGGGATTAAGGAGCAAGGACACCTCTGGGGCTTCTAGATGCTCTGGGAATATACGTTGGTTACTTTGTGTCTTAGCCTAGAAAAGCAGTCACACTGAGGGCATGGTAAACAATCTCATGGGAAGAGAACTTGGTTTTCAGCTTTGACTATAAGCTAGAGAAGAGACAGCTTACTAGGTGACTGACCGCTTCATTTGCTGATATCTTTTATTAAGTATAATTTTTTAAATTATGAAATATTTCAAACATACAAAAATTTACAGAATACTATCATGAACACCAATGCAACCAACACCCAGCTCCATCAAATCTTAACATTTTGACATTTTGTTTCAGAGACTGTTTTCTAAGAAACAAAAAATTACAGAGAAGAGTTAAAGCATCCTGTGTATCCTTACCTGCTCTGAGCCTGTTCTCCCTCATCCCTACAAGTAACTTGTATCTTACATCTGATCTGTATCTCTCCTGTGCGTGTTTTTATAAATTTTTTTTTTTTTTTTTTTTTTGAGATTGAGTCTTGCTCTGTCACTCAGGCTGGAGGCACAATCTTGGCTCTCTGCAACCTCTGCCTCTCGGGTTCGAGGGATTCTCCTGCCTCAGCTTCCCAGAGTAGCTTGGATTATAGGTGCATGCCATCACACCTGGCTAATTTTTGTATTTTTAGTAGAGATAGGGTTTTGCCATGTTGGCCAGGCTGGTCTCGAACTCCTGGTCTCAAGTGATCGTCCCGCCTAGGCCTTCGAAGTGCTAGGATTACAGGCATGAGCCACCGTGCCTGGCCACATTTTGGAAACGAGTACGTATGTGTGTTGACTTCCAGTCTCCAATTAGGGAGAGAACAGGATCAGAGTGCACATCAGATGTGCAGGGATCAAAGTCTTAGGTTAGAAAGGGCTGGAAACAGGAGTCAGCGTTTGCAGCCGTCCTGTGTGGGGAGAGGGGAAAGTACATGGTAATGGAGGTGAAGGTAAGTCTGGGTTGTCTTTGCTCACTCCAAAAGCACAACAAGCAAAAGATATATCCCTTATACTCATCAGCAATTCTTCATCATGGTACAGGTCTTTAAAATAATTTTTCAATCCTCCCTTCCTCTTAGTCACCTTGAGGTGACTACTTTATAGTAATTCTCATTTTATAGATGAAGAGACCGTGCAGGGAAGGTAAATAATGGACTTGCTACTGCAAAGCTAGTTACCAACAGAACTGGGACCAGAACTAAACACACTGCTTCCAAAAGAACGTGTCAATCTAGGACAAGTAAATGGCAGTTTCAAGTTTGAAAAGAAAAAAAAAAGGTTGAGGAGATCAAGGAGCTAATATCCCTGGTTCAAATCTCACTTGAGTCAGTCTGTCTTAGTTTAAACTAATTGGATCTCTAATATTTAGATGTGCAAAATCAGGAATGAAAATCATGACCTCCAGGGCTGCTGAGAAGAGACTTAAGATCATGTAGATAAAAGCTTTGGCATAGTAAGAGGGGCTCAATAAATATTTTCGCCTCCTGTTTTCCCCGGATGCCAAGAGCCTGGATAAGACAGAAAAACATTTTAATGGGAAGCTGTAATTCTGATAGCCTCCCTCGGTGCCCTGAACAAACTGTTTCCACCTAGATAGTGATGACTCTTGCCGGGAAGAAAGCTCGAGCCCCCTCCAGTGGCCAGAGCCGGTTACGGCTTCTGCTTGCCTGCAATTGTTCACCCTGGTCTGCATGAGCACTCAGGACAGGTAGAATTCAGGAGCCGTAGCTTCTCTTCCACCCTCACCTGCTGATTTTGCATACGTATACAACAGTTTACTTGTGGGTTCCTCTTTTTTCATGGATCGTGATTTCTGTTCATTCCTGCTGCTTAAGGAGGAATGTGAGGAAGGTATGTGTGGGTGGCTACTCTAAAAAGAGCATACCACTCTACTTCTTTAGTAGAAGAAAGGCTGATTCTTTTGTAAAGTGGAGGGATCTGATACAGGCCACTGGATAATGGCCTGCCAGTTTGCTATGTCAGTTCCAAAGAATTTTCAGACTTTAATGAAGACCTGCTAGGTCTATCATGTTTTCTAGGCTTGGAAGGAATGTAACCTATTTGTCTTTTATTATGTACATTCTAAGTTAATGCATTAAAATGATAAAAAAAAAAAAAACCAGTTCTCATTACTCAAGGTAACATATATGCCTTGCATCTGATTTCCAACAAAAGGATGCTAACGCTCTTCCTTCCCTTACATACGTCTTGTTGTGAATGTCAATGGCACAGAGGCAGCGAATCACTGATGAGAGCAGCGTCCAGATCCCAAAGGTCCGAGCTTGGAGGCCATTCACTGTGTAGCAGAAAAAAGCAAGAGTGTTGAGAAGGGGAGATCTGGGGTTTCTTCCAAACTCCTCCTACTTCACTGGTGGTTCACGGGAGGTAGGGAGCTAAACCTGACCTCTCTGTGGCCGGGCAGGATGGAGGTCCTGGTGGCACACATGAGAACTAGAAGGAAGTTCCAAGGATGGAAACCCAACAAAGAGCTGAGTTAGGCAAATAACTCCTAGATGTAGTAATTTACCCCTTCTGTCCTGGAAGCCAAGAGGGTCTGGATCAGGACAGGTTTGGGGGAATGTTGTAGAGAATGGTCTGGCAATACAAGATGCCAGGAGGCCAGTAGACTTTCAAGGCTGATCCAGAAGAGAACTCAGAGATACTGGGGACTAGTTTAGATGGCCAAATACGGTCTTTAAGATATAGGAGTGCCTGGGTCTCTTCCTGTATCCAGATCTATGCTGTTGGATGAACCAATACCAGGCTGGTTTCCTGTGTGCATAGCAGTGGGACAAAGCACTGTTTCTTTGGTGTTTGCTGGGGGGGCACCTTGCTCTTGGTGGCTTTGTTCTGACATTGCTGTATTAAATATCTTATCCTGAAAGTATGGATCATATTGCACCATAACAGTGATTCTTGACTCTGGGCATTTATTAGAATCAACTGTGGCAGTTTTATAAAATTACAAGGCCTGGGTACCAGATAAACTATATTGTATTCTCTGGAGGAGGGCACCCAGTATAAGTATTTTCTAGAAACTCCCTGCTTGGGTGATTTAAATGCAAAACCATGGAGCTAAGGCATCCAGTGGCTTGGGAATGTCAAAAGAATGAAAGCAAAGATACTTCCTTTGCTGGTCTATTGCCTGCTGAGTAAGAGAAATTTTAAGGGAAAAAGTCGACAACTGGAAGGTCTATTCATGTTTACTTGGGCTTTAAGGATTTTTTTCAGCCTTTGGACAACCAGACAGCTCTCCCAAATTCCCAATACTGAAGACCTTTTGATGGTAATGAGAAAAAATGCCAGCTAAATATCTAGCATTAGCCCTGGAGAGCTACATTCTTTATAAACCAATTTGATAGCTTTTCTCATGAGAAGACTACGGACATTTCTCTAGTTAAGAGGACTCAACCCACACTAACCAGATTAAGTATCAGGTGAAATTCTGTGGGACCCTTTAAAGCACTGCTACGTTCAGGAGAGTACCATGATGGCCACTAGATCATAAGGGAGATGGCAGCCTCCATTTGTGTGCTGGATGAACACATATACACATAAAGTTCTGCTCAGCTATATGCTCTTAAGTCACATGACCTCTAGACTTCTTTGCCTGAACTTTAAACTCAAAGGGCTAGGCCAGATAACCTCTGAAAATCTGTGAATCTATAGAGGGTTCCACGACCATCTGGGGGCAGCCTTTGAAGGTGAAAAGATGGAATGATTCTGCTCACTTTCCCAGATTCTCTACTCTTATTATATTTGAGCTTTTCTTAAAATGAGCCTTAGCCTACTTAATTTCATTTTATACCCAGACACTGCAGAAAAACGAGCTAGGTCAGAGCCTGAATCTGGGTTAGCTATAAATGTGACACAGAATTGTCATCTGCTGTGAAACAGTGCTGCAGCTTAAACTACCCCGCACATCAGCATGATGGAAGTGCAAGCTGAAATGGACAGACACTCTCAGCAGAGAGGCTCAGGAAGCCAGGAAAGGCCTCCATGGGCCTTCTTAAGTTTCCTTTTTGGAGACCGACTTGAAGGGATTTTAAATATCTTCTCGGGGACTATGTCATGGGAAGACCTTGGATTAAGAACTTTCCATCTGTAACATGGAATATGAATCACGTAAGCCCCAATCTGATTCTGAAGAAGGTGTTGAGATATAGGAAAAGCTTCTTTATGGCTTTCTAGTGAGGCAACACAGAGTCACCACATAAGTCTATTTCCTCACCTGCCCTTATAATGTTCTTTCTTTCTTTTTTTTTTTTTTAATATGTGAAATTGCCCTGGGCAGTGTAAAATGAATGAAAAGTATTCAGAGAAGCTTGGAGGAAAAAGGATCAAGTTCTCACCACAAAGTCTGTTACTCCAGTGGCTGCCAAAGGCTAGCTAAGGCAGCATTGGAATCATCTGGGAAGCTTTTAGCAACTGGATTTCTGAGCTCCACCCAGGTTCAATAAATAGGTTTGGTGAGGGAAATGGGTACCTGTGTTGAGTTTCCTAGGTTATTCTGATGCACAGCCTGGTTTGGGAACCACAGCATAGGGCCAGTCCTACAAAGGATGCAGAAATTCTTTTATTTCTTACCAAGGTTTGGCTTGCCAGTGTAGAGCTTTTCATAGAGAAAAGTGTGGTCTCGGAAGCTCTGCAGCGTGTTTCCCATGGCTATGATGGACACCATAACCAGCCAGCTTCTTAACACATTCAGGAAACGGCTCATGACTCCCCTCAAACCTGGGAGGGCTTTTTGCCTTGGAAACAAAGGCAGAGGACATGAGATAATGAGGGCCAGTCTACGTTAACCCTAAGTAGGAAGGGAGGAAGAATGAAGCAGGCCAAAAAGAGATATTTATTCACACTAATAGAGGTGAATGAACAGTATACTTTGCAATAAGTCGCACAGTACTTATCTTTGTCTAAGCAGTTTCTCCGAAATATTACCCTAAATTACTCCTTTCTCTGGGTTGGAATCAGTCCTCTATCTTCACTTCCATACCTTCACGTTTTCATGCCACTCCTTTGAAATACAAGTAGCTCAAAGATGATTCTAACTATACTCACAGACACCTGCCTGGCTATTGATGACGGATTTCTTCCAAGCCTATAGAGCTTTATACATTTGAGTGGAACTTATGGTGTGAGGTCACTATGTACATCCCTAGGTTTTCTGGACTCTGCTTCTCAGGTTTACTATGCTCTGTAAACTAGAAGAACAATTTAAAAGTTAAACATAAATAAACTGCTGTGTGTCAACTCAAAATAAAATCCTAAGCCTACCACGGACTGAAAAGAGCCCCTCTTGGCCTAGGGGATGCCAGAAAAATCCTAAAACTGAGCTCCTGGCCATGATGAGATGGGAGCTCTAACATGCCCTGTTATATTCCTTCCCTTTTCAGATTTAGAGACAGCAACTTACCAGCATTTAAGTTAACATACAGATCATAAGACTGACAGGACAGATTCTTTGTGCAATGTTACCAAATTATAAACAAGACCTAAGGCCATGCCAGGCAAGGATTAAGTCACACACTCCGACACTTAAAGAATACAACTTATATTCCGCTACAAGGTTTTTTTCCAAAGCAGTTAGACAAGCACTGGCCTTGAGATAAGCAATATTAAAACAACTGTAGCTCATCCAGCTCACAGAGGTTACCTGACCCCTTTTCCACCTGATGTAACTACAGCTTTGATTGGACCAGTGACTGATTTCAGTAACTTTCTCCAGATAAGATCACTGACCATGGACTGCTCCTGGCCAGTTTACCAAGATCACACACTTGAGTGTCTTGGTGTCCTGAAATGGCTTTTTGACCTACAGCACCTACCTGTAACTGACTTCAATGTGAGGGCTCCACTCTAAAGTGAACAGGGGTCATATGTGGTTACATGCATGTTTGTTCAATATGCATGTATCAGGACCACCTTCATGAATATTAATAGCTCCTTCTGGAACCTGTTGAATATGTATGTTTAGCCAACCTGTCCAGCATAAAGCTCTACCCCAAACCCTTCTCCTTCAAAGTACCTGTCTCTGGTCTTGGTGGGAGGCACTCTTCCCTGTGGGACGGCTATAAGCCTTTGCAAGAGATAAAGCCTCTTTTCCTTTTCCAGATTTAAAAATTGTGTGTTTTAAGTTAACATGTGACTTTAGGACTAGTAAGAAAATTATATGGCAAAGGAAATAGCAATTTTGGTGCTGGCTTGCAAGGGAATAATAGGTTTCAGTCACCGAGCACTTACACCATGAACTATGCCAAGCACCTAACATATATTACCATTTAATCCTTACAGAGAGGTCGACAGGCTCTATTAATATTTCCACCTTACAGATGATGGTTGGAACAGAAAGGATAAATGAGTTTCTTAAGGTCATGCAGCAAGGTTGGCAGAGCTAAGAATCATGGTCTGTTGGACTCTTGCAATGCTACCTCACTGTTTGAGACTTTTAATGAAGTACCCATTTTTGAGAAAGAAAAGCATACCATATCCACTTTTGTCTTCAAGTTGTGTAGAAAATACAATTAGATTACATACTTTTTTTTTATTTTTTTATTTTTTTGAGATGGGATCTTGCTGTCACCCACGCTGGAGTGCAGTGGCATGGTCATGGCTCATTGCAGCTTCAACATCCCAGGCTTAAGTGATCCTCCTGCCTCAACCTCTCTAGTAGCTCAGACTATATGCATGTGCTACAACATCCGGCTAATTTTGTATTTTTTTGTAGAGATGAGGTTTTGCCATGTTGCCCAGGCTGGTCTTGAACTCTTGGACTCAAGTGATCCACCCAGCCTCCCAAAGTGCTGGGATTACAGGTGTGAGCCCCTGCACCCTCTTTTTTTTTCTTAAAAAGTCTTAGATCAACTCTTGTTGAGTAGTGATTTCAGTCAGTCTGATTTAAATAAAACCAAAATAGATAAATAATTTAATTATGGGATGACTTTTCCCCATCCTCATTATTATTTTCTTGGCCCATGGTTTATCTGTTGTCAGGCAACATAAGTTTCAGTATTGTTCTACGCTACCCAGTGAGATAGATATTAAAGTCAGTGATGGCCCAAGACAGTGTGAAACACAAAAAAACCCCCAAACAAACAAACAAGAGATCTAGAGAAGGGTGAATTGATGAGCCCGGAGAGCTGGATCACAAAGGTGGTCTCTGTCCAAGACTGAGGGTCTATTGGACATCATAGGCCATTATCACTTGGGCCAAGATCCACCTACCGTCTTTATTTTCTCACTCTCTTTCAAGAGGAGACTCCTCCAGGGTTTAGAAAAGATGCATGGATGCCCCTCTCCACTTTTCTGCAAAACGTATCCTTCCATTTCACAGAAGCTCTTAGAAATTCCAACAGATAGCTGATGAGGACAGAGCCTGAACACTTCTGAATTGCTCTGCTAATTTCTCAACCTAATTTCCCTAAAGCTTTAGGACCTCCTAGCGTGTATACAACATCTATTTCCAAATTTTGTCCTGGCCCTGGCCCGGCCCAGCGCAGCCCAGCATAGGTGTGGTGTTAAAATTTAATCAGAAGAAAGGGATTCTTATCCTGGCCCTACCACTTAGTAGCTGTGTGACCCTGGGCAAGTCACTTACACTTTTCATTCTCGGTTTCCTCATCTGCAAAGTGGAGATAGAAATACCAACCTATTGATATTTCTTAACAAGGGTTATTGTAAGAATTATATGAGAAAAAGTGAAGGCTCTTTGTACAGTGCTAGGCTTATAGTGGCTGCTCATTCGCTCATCCATTCCTTCGTTCCTTGAATTCACTAAACCTCCTCCATCTTCCTAGCTCCCCCTTGTTATCGCCTCTCGAACCCTTTCCCCCCAAAAGGCTGCCCTCCAGGTATCTTCCTTCCATCCCATCTCCATTTTTCCCGACTTTCCGGATCCTCTCAATCAGAAGCCACACAGACACCTACATCCCTTTTATCCTCCATATTCTCCTTACCTGGCGACCGGACCCCCAGTACAGGCGTGGCAGCAGCAGCAGCAGCAGCCGCCGCAAACAAGCTCCCCCAGGACAGCTCCAGCCGGGAGTCCACCTGAGCCATTTGTCCCCGCCCCCTCCCTCAGCCCTGCTCCAGGATTGGGTCGTTTCCGTCAGTCCTCTCTCTGATTGGCTGTCCCGACTTTGCCCAAGCAGGAGATAGGGAGTGAACCCCTTTACTGCCAATCAGCAGTTGCCGCTGCCTAAGCCTCTCCTCAGGTACGCCGCTCACGCGGTAAGCCCTCCTGTTGGACCTAGCGGAACTCCGGGTTTGGAGTCAACCTCTTAGGGGCGGAGAAAAAAACAGCGGAAAAAAAGAAGACTCCCTTCTGCTGAGAGCAGGGCTCTGCGCCCGCGTGCGCGGCGGTGACGACATTCGCCCGCGCCTGCAGCCGCGCGTTGTCTGCGCCGGGTGGCGGGCGCCTGCGCAGTGGCTCCGAGCGGGCGGTTGCTTGTTGGTTGTTGTAGTAACCGGGGAAGCAGCAGTCGGCGGCTGCCCTGAGCCCTGCTGGGAAAAGAAGAGAGAGGTAGGAGCAGAGTGCGGTCCACGCCTGCCCACCCGAGCCATGGGAAGATGAGAGAGGTAAACGCCTGCGCCGATGCGCTTCCCTACCCCAGGGAGGAGCCTTCCCGGGTCCGGGCTGGCGCTGGCTGCCGCACTTCCCGCTCAGAGCCCGGGAGTAGTTGTTGGCTTCCGGGCACGCCGCGTTGAATCGCGGCGGCGGGGTCGTCCTGTCCTTCCCGGGGAGAGCATCTGCGGACCTACCTGGGATTGGGGTGAGCTGGGGGTGGGGCTGAGAAGCAGATTCCTTTAGGGCGAGAAGTGTCCTTAGGCGAGTGTCTCTAATCTTCTTCCGATCGACCTATTTCTCCCCGCTCTGCCGGCAGCCTTGGAAAGGTTGGCATCCCTTCCCGTTTGAAGGTTTTGTTTGTTTAAACTTGAAGTATTTCCCAACATTTTGGGAAAGACCAAGAAATCCCGCTGAGAATCCCCCGAAGAAAGCCATTGAAGTTGTTAGACATTGCCCACTGCGCCGAAGATCTGTAGGGATCATTATCAGGGTCGGGGTGTGTGTGTGTGTGTGTGTCTTACTTACAGTCTCATCGTATTTATGAATGCATGAAAAAGTTAAGAAGGATTGACACCACAACAAGTCCGGGGTATGTGTGTGTGTATGTGTGTGTGTGTGTTTTATTTACAGTCTCTTCGTATTTATGAATGCATGAAAAAGTTTAAGAAGGATTGACACCAAGTCGTTATCTCTGAGTAATGGGATTATGGTCATTTAAACTTGTTCATTTGCTTTATTTGTAGTTCCTGTTTCTTCTGACACACACAACAAACATGTACGTTTTTTCCTTTGGAAAAAAATATTCTAAGTTAGAAATGTAGTGTTGGAAATTTCGTAATTTTATTGCCCATTCCGGAGTCATATCAAAGTTTGTGATTTTTAGTAAGGAAGAATAATTTTTAAGAGTGGAAGAGCATTGTCCCCTCCCCCGCCAACTCTTTATATGACCTTTGATTCAGGAGAATATATTCATCTTTCGGTTCATTGTTGAATTTATTTTGCTGGAAACGTGATAGCATCTTGTCAGTGTGCTTGTCATAGAGTCTAAATAAATGTTTGTAAGGGTCTTAAACCTTGAGTTTTTATTTATTTGTTTTTAACCCAGGTCAGGTTTGTCTAGCAAGGAATATACATTTTAGGGAATCAGTCACCTACCGCAGACTGCTCTGAAAGTGAAGAGTCGATCCTTTTGGTGCATATTAGATTTAGGCAATAATGAGAAACTCAAACTTAGTAACAGCTATTCAAGTATATAGCACACAGACAGTATGTTTGAAAAAAAATCTTGATTTTTGTGGCATATTGAGGCACTGTGATGGAAGGTAAACTTCTAGAGGTTGGGCACTGTTTAGGAATATAGTCATCCTCGTTACTTAGATGATCAGCAGTAACCAATAAATAGACAACAGCATTGTGTTTCAGGTCAATTGATCAGATCAAGTTGATTTCTTGCAGGAATCTGTGCCATCCAAATTGCTTGATCTGGTGAATCTGCTAGGAAAGGTCTCTGAGGCCCCTGTCTGCTGACTGCATGACAAGCCCTAAGGGAAATGCCAATCGTGATGGCCCGGGACCTGGAGGAAACAGCATCATCCTCAGAGGATGAGGAGGTCGTAAGTCAAGAGTAAGTAACAGCAAGTCTGCTTTTGACCTGCGCTTTTAGGATGAAAAATAGTTCTCTTTTACTTATATATTCTTTTATCTAGTGTCATTCCTTGGGTACTATCTAACTCTGGTTTTAGCTTCTATTCATAATGTAATTTAAAGTCTTATTATTCAGTCCCTGTCAGTTATGAGAAATGAGATAAGGCTCTCTTTCTGGGCTCATAAGTGAACATCAGCTCTAGATGTTGTCAAATGCAGGTAGTGGCTCTTGGTGTACTCTTGCTCAGAGCTCCCAATGTAGGAGATTTTGAAATGTTTCAATGTTGAAGAAAAACATGTTGAAACTCTACGGCATTCGTTACATTTGCTGATTTTCTCAAAAGCCTTTACAATGATAAAATGGTGCTAATATAGAGATGTCAGGTAACTTACCATAGTAACTCTGAGACATGGTATTAGAATTCTGTAGCCTGTACTGTGTCCATTGAACCACAATTGCTTTCCTGAGTTGTTTTAGTTAAGAGTCCAATTTCATGATTATTGGCTCATCACAATAAAAATGAATGATAATGGCTGGGCGTGGTGGCTCACACCTGAAACCCAGCACTTTGGATGGCGGAGGTGGGTGGATCACCTCAGGTCAGGAGTTTGCGACCAGCCTGGCCAACATGGTGAAACCCCATCTCTACTAAAAATACAAAAATTAGCCGGGAGTGGTAACAGGTGCCTGTAATCTTGGCTATTTGGGAGGCTGAGGCAGGAGATTCACTTAACCCTGGAAGGTGGAGGTTGCAGTGAGCTGAGATCGCACTATTGCATTCTAGCTTGGACAACAAGTCTCAAAAAAAAAAAGAATGATAATGATAAGTATAGCTACTATAAATGACAATAAAGGCTTTGTCTCATCTGTATCTTATATCTTTTTAAATCTGAAGGTGTTACTATTTTCACTTTTTAAACATAGTCATAAATATCAGGAGATTTTCTCAGTGACCCATAGAGAATAGTTGATGCATTGGGATTCAGACTTAGCTTTTCTGGATTTTGATTCCTTTGCTTTTTTGCCTCCTTTAATTATTACTTGACACGGAGTGAAGAGAGAATCTGGTTTAAAGGTAAAATTCATTTTTAAGATTCTCCCTGAATCCTTTTGGATACATGTGTGCTGTGTAATCTGAAAAAGAGAGATAATATCTCCCAGGCTATTTTGTAGGGGTCTGGTGAAACTCAAATAGAATAATGTGTGTGAAATTACTTTGTAAGTGCTATACAAATATAAGGCATTATTCTTAGTAGTTTTAATAATGAAATTTGTGGTGGCCTTATAAGGTAGACGAGTACTTACTGTAATTTGAAAAAAATTGTTGAAGCATTAAGAAAGCTTTGAGGAAACGTTTCTTATCCCTGTTAGGTCACAGAAAATAATAGAGATTTGACAGTATATTTGGGTCATTCTTGTTCGGGATAATTAAATGGATAAGTCCTTTTAGTTACTTTCCCTTCTTCTGACTTTTTGCTTTCAGAGTGCTGCCTCTTACCCATTTCACAGAGCTTCAAATTTCTGCTGCACATATCAGTCTTTCCCTTTTTAAAGGCTGTTCTTTTACTCCATTACTGTCTCTTTTATTAGTGAGCTTACAGATTGGGCCTGACAAATGTTAGATTGAACTATATGAAACTGCCTTTTTGGTAGGTCAGAAATAGTCAAATACTAACAATTGGAAATAGTTCGACCTAATATTATAGTTGGAACTTAGTAAATTCTTGCTGACAGAATAACTAATGAAGTGAATGAATAAATGAAGGCCTTATATTGTATATTACCTTAGATCAGAGTTGTTAACCCTTTTTATGCCATGGATTCCTTACCAGAATATATCTAAGGCTTAAAATAAAATACGTGTCATTACAAAGAGTACTAATTACATTCAAATGCAGTTATTAAATTTGTAATATAGTTAATATGTGCTGTTTTATTAATGCATTAAATAATAAGATCATTTAAAATTTGGGGAAGTTAAATTTTGTTTTCTAAAGACAACAGCATGAAGACTGTTTTTGTTGTTTATATAAGATCAGTTCACTGAGATGGTGGTCTTTGATTAACAATCATTGATGGGGAGTACCAGGAAGCAGCATAGATGTCTGGGGCACCAGTATGAGTTGTCATCATTTAGTGACTGAATGATTTTTAGGAGGAGAGTTGCCTGATTGTTGTCCAGCCTCATCACACTAGCATTTAGATAGAAAGACCATGGTCACATGTGATATAGGGGGTGAGTCTTAAACTACTATAACTTAGAAGTGGTGTCAAGTGTAAATGATATTTTGAGATATCTGCAACACCTGTAATAAGATATAAAAATACCTGTAATTGACCGGGCACAGTGATTCATGCCTGTAATTCCAGCACTTTGGGAGGCTGAGGTGGGCAGATCACTTGTGGTCGGGAGTTGAAGGCCAACCTGGCCAATATGGCGAAACCCCGACTCTACTAAGAATACAAAAATTCGCCGGATGTGGTGGCGAGCACCTGTATTGTAATCCCAGCCACTCGGGAGGCTGAGGCAGGAGAATCACTTGAATCCAGGAGGCAGAGGTTGCAGTGAGCCGAGATTGCACCGCTACACTCCAGCGTGGGTGACAGAGTGAGACTCTGTGTCCAAAAAAACCCAAAAAAACTGTCATTTTAGATAACGTCAAAGGCACAGATAATGCTAGTACTACTATGATTTGTCGCCTATATTCATAATTAAGAAATAACAGAATTTCTTTTTTTTTTTTTTGACTATTCCAAATATATTTAATGCTCATGTTGTAAGATGAGCCTTCCACCCCCAAAAGTAACTGCATTTTATCTTCGAAATTAAGGGGAAAAACAAACAAAAAACTAAAACCCAGTGCTGGTGACAAATGAAATAACCGAATTTCTAATAAAAATTAGTGAAAATAAAGGTGTAATTTTCTGTCTGCTCCCATCCAAATTTATGGACCTCTTCTTCCTTTCAAACTCCTGTTGATTTTTAACTGTTAATCTTGTTTCATCAACTTATGTCTTGTCTATCAGACACTTATTTTTTTACCTTAGGAAGCTTAAATCAATCTTATTCACACCTGGAGCAGGCTTACATTTTAAAAGTTGATTTGGAAGTTTGAAGGCCTTAAATCATCTGCAGATGTTGACTTGATCCAAAGATGTGTATCCA